CGGCAAGCGAAATAGGGCTGGTACGCAACCGCCGACGTTAGCGCATCGCTCGATTCGCAAAGTCTGACACTGGCCATAGGATGAAGACGAACAGAGCCCGTGTCGTCGCGTGGTCCACCCCCAGCCCCTGAATAAGTTGGCACCAAATTTGCCCGCCTGTTAAGCCGCGGCCATACTTTGCACGATACCACGATCGCATAACCGCGTAATCGATACGTAAATAATCGTAATCGATACGTAATCGATACGGGGCAATGCCTCGCGGGGGGGAGACAGTCACTCAATATGCGTGACAAGTTAGAATATTCCGCGAGATGCAGGAATATCCGAGTTTACACCACTTCGCTAGGCTGCGGCGGCGACTGCCCCCCCCCCCGAAGAACATTGCCGCGTATATTCTCCACGAAAATCGCAAAATCGCAAACTGTGACTACGGCATTAGCAGAAATGCTTTGAATTTGGAACCAAATTTACTTTTGCGGTAAAGACCACACTTACATCTGTGTATCGAAGGTAATATAGTAAGGCAATACAAACATAGACGCGTCAGGGTACTGAAAGACAAAATGGACCCAGCGGAACTCTTTCCAGAAGTACCTTTGCTGAATTACATCGGAAATAATATGGCGCGTGACCGGTCCCCACGAAAAAATGGTTTAGAAAAACAAACGGACCTCGTAGTCAGCCATACATCTCATCCGCGTATTGCCCGGTTCACCATGAGGTGCAGACAGCTCCTTTGGAATCAAATCCAACTCCATACACACTGAAGCGAGAAGGCATAAAGCATACAATCGAAATATGCGCAGCCGTTGGTATCGAATTAGCGCATTGCATGCACCGTAACCGCACACAAAGCACAATACAGTAATCGTGACAGAGAATTTGGAGCGCTCCATCAACGCTGATGCTGTCTGTGTTGATTAATTGCTTTCTTGATGCGCCGCAAGTCGACTTGCACCCAGTAATTTGGAAAATCCATCCGAGTATCGATGTAACTTAACTTTATTTCAATAAAGTTTCTGGTCGCGCAGAATGGAGAGAAGTGCAGTTGAACAGAACAGGGGCCAAATGGTCTCATTCTCAGAGACTGATAAGCTCCTCGAATGCCGGGTGAAACCGTGGTCAACATTGAACAACGCTCCATCAATGCGGTAGTTCTCATAGCGAGGTCGGGACTTATGGTTAGGGTTTACGGACTACTTGATTTTTCCTCAATGGTCCTGCCGCGATGGCTAGAGCACAGACGATTAGAGAACGGGTGAATGCCCTAGGACTAAGCCTTGGAGAGGAGAGGGACCCGCGAGAGAGCGCAGAGGCGGTTTAAAGCAACAGTCCAAGAACGAATTCGCGGGCAAAAACCACCGATAATGAAGTTGTAGGTGCAAAGTTGACCAATAATGAAAGAAAAAGTTAAAAAAAAACGTCGAACAGGGACTTAGACAGGGACTCCCCCTGCCACTTAGCAATGGAGGAAGACGCTGTTGGACGAGTTGTATGAACATGCCCGCAGTAAATGCGCCCCAATTGCAATAGCTGGCAATTGCTGGCAAGTAGCCAGCTATTGCAATTGGGGCGCAATAATGGGATCGTTTCATGTTTTGAAGGTAGAAGGTAGAAGGAAAAAATGTAGAAATTCAGCGTTGTCGGCATCACTACATCGATTGCTTTAAAGGATCGACCTCAAATAGTCCCGGCGGTCCCGCAACGACCGCCAATCAACTACGCGCTCTTCACAGCAGCAAGGGGGCGGCTCCACCGAGGCTCGGTGGACCCGCCCTTTTCGAAGAAGTTCGAGCCCTTCCTACGCATTTCAAAGGTAAGTTTTAATTCAGTGACAGTTCCTATGAACTTTACTTGGGCTGGGGCATGCTTCCACACCTCAGGATTGATTGGTTGAAACCCTCCTTGGACTGTTGCTTTAAAGGGTTGTGTTCAAGTAGCCCATCGGCCGCACCCCCATTGAACTAACTATGGAAGGTGGGTTCGCCATTGCAGAGGCCGCGCCTATTTTGCACATCGAAACGTGCACGGTCATAAGACTCCAGGCGCTAAGGAAATTGGTCAAATCGCAACCAAGCTGTCACGATCCTACGTGTAGGTACTTCTGAATATATTGTGGTTCGGTGACAACAGTGTAGAAGTTATTCTCGTAGCATTGATCTGGCGGCCTCTCAGCAAACGAGGCCGCGCCTGTGGTATCATTTGAGTGACATTTATGTGCTCAAGGAGTGGTGAGGTGATGAGATGAGTGCGTAGGTGAGATTAGGTGGGAAGGTTCTGGTGGCATGCCAGAACACTCCGCGGCGACAAAAGGGAATGAGAGAAGATGAAAGAGGAATAATGTACAATTAAGAGAAGGTAGCATAGACATAGTAATTGCTTTTTGAAATGTGATATGACGTCAGGAGTGTGCAGCTTCAGGACCCTCGTAACTTGTGGGCGAATGACAAGTGATTATTGGTGATGGTTTGGAACCCTTGACTCTTGTGGGCAGCTGATAGTTGAGTGGTCGCATCTTGCGGTGTTGG